GTTTTATTGCCTGAACTAAAGTGATTTTATGGCACAAATCATTGTCTTCACGAGATAATAGACTTGTCAGACGAGTCATCAGACTTACGATACCTAATGAATTGAGTTATCATATAATTATACAATACTTCAAATGCTTAATAATTTTCCAAAAACAACAACTTATTTCCGATTCATATAATAATAGATAAGATTAAATTGTTTCGCGACATCCCTTTGGAAACTATAAAATGATGTCATTTTCGCTTCAAATGTTTTCTTTTAAATAATGATAAAAATTTCGAAATTTAAAAAAATACATTTTCAAAAATATACACAATTTTGAACTAATTATAAGATATGATTTGACAATGACTTGAATTCACTGCCAAAAACGAGTTAAATATATTTTAATTTAATTGTATTCTCATAAGGATTGTGAAAATTTTCTAGTTTTAAAAAGCCTTCATTCTTGTAATAAATTTTCAATTATTTTGTTTTGCGTAAACTTCTATTGTATTCATGATATTTTATAGATTTTAGTTTTATTTCGTAAAATTTTTAAGAATATATTAAATTATAATAAAAATATCCACTATTTGTGACATTAATATCAATTGTAATTGAAATATAATAGTTATTCAAACAAAGGAATATATTAAAAGCTCAATGAATTGTCATGTTTGACAAATCAATCAATAGAAACATTAACAATGAATTAATTCACTTGAATTCAGTCATTAATATATCATTTCATTAACAATAAGATTGACTAATGTTTTAATGGAAAATAAGTTATGCAAACATTTCAATGTTAAAAATAAATTAAAATTAAGAAGAATTAGCGGTAAAACTAAAAACGTTTCTATTTATACATGAATTCAAACTCAGTTTTAAAAATAATTGTAAAAAGAAGTATCAAATTACCGGTCGAGTGGTCAGAATCTGCGTGACTGTTGTAAATGTCTCTGATTTCGCTCATAAGACTTGTAAAACACCAGAAAGTGTCGGCTTCTGAATGCTCTGCGAATTGCATGAAAACCAAAGGGTTTATAGAAATGAAGTATTTGTAAAATTATTCATAAGTTTGAAGGCATACCACTCCAGCCATTGTGAGTATCGTTGGCAAAGACATAATATATGGGACCAATTATCTCATTCATCCCCTGAACGTATCCCTGGCCGGGATTAAGCTTTGCATAAATAAATAAAACTCTGGCCACGATTTGCCTGTTTTATAGGGAAAATGCAATTTTAAAATAAATAAATGCATAATTCATCGAAAGTATAATATATTAAAACATCATATTTTAAAATATTGTGAATTATTACTGAATACAGAGAGCTATTAATTGATTTATACATTAATAATTTTCAACAATCAAATCAATACCAATGAAACTCTTCTCCGTCTGAGTTTTTAGGCGATTCAAAATCGTCGTCGTTGTCATCATATCTATTGGTCTTTTTGTGTGTATCTCTCACTTCTGTGGCACCGAAACAGTTGCGAATCACGTCAATAGTGTAGGCCTTACTCGCCGTTCGGCCTATCGTTTAACAAAGCAAACAAAAACACAAATTAATTATTCAATTTAATTAATAACAAACATATTGGATGATTGTGCAAATCATTGCATAAATGTATAAATAAATAAATAAATCACTGCATATACCGATGACATCACAATTGGCCGCTTTATTGGTGAAATTCTTTGCGATTCTTTGCTGGAAGAACGACATGTCCGGATACAGACGCCTCACATCTTTGTATATCTGCGACAGCACTTCGTTATCGGCGACTATTCTATTCCAGTGACTGTTCGGCGCTGTGTTTAACGGCTGTCCAAACGGGAGAGTAAATAGTTTTAGCTGACAATTGAAATCATATTCAAATAGAAATCGTTAAATACGTGATCATCGGGTGATTGAGCGCTATTTGAATCACTTATGATAAGCTCTGATACGAACTGTTTATAGAGTTTGCGTTTCTCTTCCAAATGTTTGGTCCATTCCCTCCGATCTGACGGCAAGTATCCCAAAAGGATCTAAATATACATCAAAAGACATTAATGACATGATTATCAATAGTTCATAAGGAAATCAATGGACAGAATATCGTAATATATAACATTTTGAAATGTAAAATTTGTAAAATGTATGAAAAGGGACGAGAATTGTCGTACTTTCCAGACGAGTGACCGGATGTGCTTCTGGTCGTCAGGACAGCCGACTTCAAAACATAGTTCCCGAAGACTTCTCGTGTCGATCACAGTTTCTTCGTGGGTGTCTTCGCTCTCGCCGTTTGTATTCAGCAATTCATTGAATTTCAATAATCTATAAATATATTACATGTATATTACATGAAATTGTTTTTATTAGTAATTTTATTTGATAATCAAGTGATTCAGTAAAATAAATAATGAATAATAATTTTATAGGCATTAAATCAAGCGATGAATTGCGTGAATGAGTGCCAAAAGTTTATCGGCAGATATTTTCAATGATAACTCCCGTATTAAATATGCATCGATTTTGTTATCAATGCATTCGTATAGAAATCCATAATTTTTTGTTATTTAATTAAACAGAAAAAAATATTTAAGAGAAAAATGAGTGAAAAATAAAGACCGAAACCAATTGTTTGCGATAACAAGTGATAGCAATAACACAGCGATTGAATGCAAAGACACTTTTTCTCAATAGGCATAACATGCGAGTACTCAACGAAACCACACATTTGTTAATTGCATTATTAAATTCATTTGTCAAACAAATGTTTGTCATTAAAAAAGACTTGCATTGAAACAAATCACACGAAGTGTGAAAACAGTCAAAACTAGAGCAAAAAAAGTGTAAAATTTAAAGTGAAATGAAGTGAAAAAACACACCTCTGTTTGTAAAGACTCGAAGCCATAGTTAAACATCACTCAAACACCACTTCTCTCTCTCCCTATGTTTACTGCTGTATATAATGTGCTCCTCTATTGAGTGCATCAATGAATGAATGCATTCCTGTATTCAATGCAAAAGCCATAGGAATATAGAGGAGAGAGAAAAGTTGGTTTCGAAAAAAAACTTTCTTATCATTGCATTTGCCATTCAATGGGAGTTTGCGTTCAATTTTCATGACAACCACTACTTTATTATTATTGGAGAGACTTTTAAACGCAATGTATGTTTTTGGCTGTGTTTTTGTCTCACATATGAATGCCATTCGCAGACCATTTCCTTAGCGAGAGATTTGATTACAAAACTACTGATTAGAAGTAGTTTTTCGTTATTTCATTGTTTTTCATATCATTTATTACAAGTGATTGTTATATAGGCTTTGAAGTGACAAATGAAGCGATCATTTCAAGTGAAGTAATGAAGTAATCGTTGCCTTTATTTGCAATTGTTATGCGAAATATTAGTCCATATTTTTTAAGGCCATTATTTGCTACCAATTTGTGTTGTTTTCGCTGACAATTGATTTGATTTATTGTTTGCTTCAATCAGTGCTCAAGAGTTTGATTGATTGTAATTAATTACTCGTTGTATGAATTGATGGTATAGTCGACAGTCATGTCACTCGAAGACCCGTTTTTTGTGGTTAGAGAGTAAGTGCGAGACAATAGACACACATCTGTTGGCGAAGATGTTGTGGTCGTCGGAAGTGATGATTGATTTTAACGATTGATTTGTTTGTGTATTTGAAACCCATTAGCGAAGTGGTGAAGGCGTTGGCCAAATGCCGGACCAACTTTGACCGCTGGACCGACTTCTTGGACGAACCGAATGGCACCACAAAAGAGG